TAGGGTATATTTTAGGAACTGGATAGAAGTGTTATTGTATTTTTTTATTTTATTTGTTATTTATTTACTTAACTTTTATTAATATATAAAACAATTATTATTTATAAGGGGCTTTAAGATATGCATCCCTAGTGGGAAAACTTATTAGATGACACACCCAAGTCTATAAAAACATTAGCCTCACATCCTTTTGTGAAATAGTGCCTATAGTACCCTTACAGTCACATTAACGCCGTTTGTTTTTAATTTTGGAAAAATAAAATTAAATCCCACCAATCCCGCAATTAGTAATCTCTGAGATTCTATTTTCCAAATCACACATTAACCGTATCATAATCCAACCCACTATCCTCCACTTCGCCCCCTCTTCGCCATATTAGGGTTTTTTTTTTTCCTTTCGTTCTCGTCTGCAAATCGATGGCGAGCAACATCATAGAATCCAAAAAAAAAAACGAATTGTCGGCGCCATTAACGTCTACGGATGTCTACGTCTAGAGAACCAGATCAAGTAAGTTTTGAGTTGATTTTGTTTTGAAATTATTTTTTTTGGGGGAATTTACAAAGTCGAATGAACAGGAGAGATGCGTATGAAGCGGCACCAGGACATAACTGAACTAGACCCTGGTACGATTCAAAGCATGTATATTTTTTTGTTTGTTGTTTTATAATTATGCGGGTATATATGGATTCCACCGAAGAAATCTATGGATTCGACCGATTGAAAATATACGCGTAAATATTTTCGTGACAAAAAATTGCAATCCGTTGTTGGTTAATCGCAGTTTGTATTCTGCTATGTTTCATGACTTGTGAGTGTAGTCATATATTATGTTGAGGTTTAGATTTGTGTTATTGTAGATAGTTGGTGTAAAAAGCCTGTATATTTCTATGATTGTAAAAACGCAGCTTGATTCTATGGTAGTCTATGAAATTATATGTGCTTCTATAGTATTCTATAAAAACAACAGTTGAAGAAATGCCATTAAATTTATGTGCAAGAGTGATTCCCTCATGTTGTACTGCCTTTTCTGATGTTATATTAACATTTGCTATTATATGATGTCTATGTAATTGATAGGATGACCAATCTTACTTATGCGTAAGTTTGTTGCTAATAAATCGTATATTTGACTTCTATATATATTTGTAAATATAAACTGATGATGTATTTCTATGGGTGTCTATGATTGGGTACTGTGTTGTCTCTCCTAGTTTCTATGGCAGTATGTGAGTTGATTTTGTACTACAGTAGTCTATGGCGTGACAACAGTATAAATTTTGGTACAGTTATTTTGTTGTGATGTTATTTTTGTTTTTTGTTTTTTGCAGATCTATGTTATAGACCTATGAAACAACTGCTGTTATGTGATTCTCTGTTTAATTGATAGCCTGACCTAAGTGGCATATTTAAAGCTAATTGCTAATGAATTGTTTATGTTTAACTACATGTATAATAAATGTAGTCCTGTGATATATTATGGATACTCTGATGTTCTATGGTTTTCTGTCAATTGCAATATTCCTAATTTCTTAATATAAATATACTGACCCTACAATTACATGGGATATGTACTTTTTAATCTTCACCCAAGCATTTAACTTTGATCACAACTAAAATATGGTTTGTTATATTCGCAGGAAAAGCCATGAATGTTGCGTGAAAAACGAGAAATAAAGGTGGTTATAGAGACGAGAAAGGACATTATAGATGTATGTCGCAGAAATGAGAAAGGACATTATAGAACACCTTCTGAAATACAAAATCAATTAGCCATAGAGTAGTCTCATTTATTTTGTCTATTGTACGCAAACGAAAACATTTGTAGAAGTTAGGTTTTTTCGCTCTATTTTGTAGTTGTGTTGAAATATTCGAAACAAGCTGCTGTTTATTGACACAATATCTTATCTATATATGCCTTTTGGAAGGTAGCTTTGTTGATTTTGTATACTTTTGTTTATTTGGGTATTGGAATACCATACATTATTGTGCAAATGCAGGTATTGAAATGACACAATGTCGAACACCGTAGTACTCACCATACTATAGTCTTCTTTGGCATACTATGGATTACTACATAAACGTTAATATTTTTCACAAAAAACAAAACAATTTACAAATGAGAAAGAACAGACAAACTTGAGGAAGAATAAATCGTGCAAGGTGTTGAAAAATAGCTATTGAAAAAATAAATTTAAAAGGAAAACTAAGTTAAAACAAGTTAACATATGAAAGTGAAACAAAACATACCCCCGCCAAAAAAAGTTACAATACCGAAAATGAAACAGTTCTACCGACCCATAAACCCATGAAATTCAGTTTGATACATTTGTAGAATTTTGTTCGTTCGGTGTTTGGAATAGTATGCGTAAGGTTGACTAACCAATTGGGGATAATTGTGTACAGATGGTATTGAATGTAAACATATGGCCGCATATAATATTGTAACATACTACAGTTTTCTTTGGTATACTATAGATCACTACACAAACTTTAGATATGCAGACTTAGTGATAAAGTGCACCAACACTGTCTGGATTGCATTGTTTCTATCTTATGGTAATTGTTGCAATGCTGTCATTATTGTGATCCAAATATTAACCGTACAATGCAATGAGATTCTATGTAAAAATCATAAACATATATGTTATTTTCCGGAAAATGTTTTGTCTGTGCACAAATGTACTGTATAGCAAACTCAATTGTGGAATTGCTCAAACATAAATCCTTAAAAGTAAAATTAAAACAGAAAAATTATTTAAATCAAATGAATCCCTGAAAAGTACAAAAACAGTGCGGACAAAAACATAAATCCATAAAAGAAAGAACAAACATTCGTCACAAAAAAAAAACCGATATTAAAATGACACAATGTTGCCCAAAACATAAATCCATGAAAAGAAACAAAAGAAAATACTAAGTCTTTAGATCATTGCAAACTTGAAACATATAAACAAAAACTCAAAATCAAAACTACTAAATAGCCCTTGTGCATGTCTTTTTGTTGTGGGTTCCAACCTGGTTGCAGCGACTACACCTCATCCTCCCCGCTTAGCTCTCACCCCTAGAAGCAATTCTTTTTCTCTTTGGTCTACGATGTTTCGGCTGGAACTCAGGTGGACCAATGACGGCCAACGGCGGATCCGCAATAGGCCAAGCAAATGGAAAACCATATTGCGTATGTACAACTCATTCCAATTAGCCCTCACATAACCGATAAGCATGTTGAAATTCATATCACCAGACACATTCTTGATGCTAAAACATTTACCGTACAATTAGAAATCGACATAAATGAAAATAATGTGAAAATAAAAATCGAACATAAATGAATCTGCAAATAAATATATTAATACAATAATTTACGTGAAATCTTGGTTTCACTGTACAATTAAATTTTCAAATTTATAAGTGGATCTTGTGCGGAAAAAGAAAACAAAAAAAGGTAAAACAAAAAAATAAAAATTGAACAGACATCAAACCAACAACGCACGAAGAACCACTGATATGCGATGAGGAAGACAATATCTTCTTGAAGAAGAAGATCAAACAAATCTCGAATGAATACGCTCAAAGTTTAGCCGATTAGCACTATGTATTGTTATCTATGGAATCTTCTTTACTTACGTGCATTATATATTAATGAGATTATATAAAGATAAATTTACTATCCCTGATAGAACGTGATTGATACGTGATCCCTATTTACAAGGGAAGTGATTTATTAAAGAGACATAACTCTTTATAACGCCACACAAACGTCCTGTTAAAACTAAGGGTATTATTGGCATATTTCAAAAAAAAAACCCTTATATCATATATTTTTTGAACTGAGGGATTTAGTTACGAAGAAAATATTGGGCCCGTATCCTACGTCTAATAACGTTTCGTATGAGGGACCTCCAGCATATTAACCCTATTTATAAAGGCATATATGGTAAATGAAATAGAATTATCAAGTCACTGTTTGAATATATGTGAAAGATAGTTAATTTTTTCTATATTTTTGCATAATAGTTATTATAAAAATTATATATAAATAATTAAAAATAAAAAATACAAAAACCCGGTCGGACCTCGGTTGGACCGGTCCAACCATGACCCAGTTACTTGTCCCGTTCATTGTCCGGTCCGGTTTTGAAAACCAATGTTTTGAAACCCGGACCGGACCGGCCGGTTCGACCGGTTCAACCGCGAACCGCTGCCTTGTCCGGTCCGGTTAACACTACAAAACCGAAAAATGCAAAAAATCGGGTTAAATGATAAAATCCGGTTTTTTGGCCGGTCGAACCGTTAACCCGGAAACCGACTAAAAACCGGTTCTTTGAGAAATCAATTACAGATCTGAGTAAGATGGTGGAGAAAGAAGAAAAAAAAACGAGAAAGAAAGAAAACTTGTCAAAAATAGCCGCTGGAAGAGGTAGAGGGCATGGGTGACGTTAATATTCAGACTATGTTTTGAGATGTTAGGCGCTGGGATCTTCAATGATGTCTTGATGGGTGGTGCAGATTGGGGAAGAAAAGAAACAGCAGCGCAGACACAGGAGAAAAAAAAAGTAACTGGTGTTTGGGGTAGGTGGGTGGGTGAATTATATTTCAATTTGAAGTGATGTCTTTTTTTTTTTTTTTTTTTTTTTTTAATAAAGAGGGGGATTAGTGAAATACAGAAATAAAATAAGGAAAATCTAAAAGTAAATATAAAGAAATATATATATATATACATATATATATATATATATATATATATATATATATATATATATATATATATATATATATATATATATATATATATATATATATATATATTCCTCTATAATATAAGAATAAAATACGGAATAATGGAAACCTTGAGATATCTTCAATCTTGAAAATATTGTCTGCCAATAAAGGTTGAGCCAACTAACTATTAACACATTAATATTAGTTTCAAATAAAGAATGAACAAATTATTAAAAAAATATAATCCCCACCCCCCACAAAACCTTTTTCCTCTATAAAAGCCCCTCACATGCATCCACCTCCTTAGAAAAAATATTCAAAACAAACCAATATGGCAGCTGCAACAACAACCACTTCTTCTTCAATTTCCTCACTCTCAACTTCCATAATGCAAGAACTCTTAGTAATCAACTTCCACTCATCAAGAAAACTACTTCTCCACAACCCACTATACACCACCCCACCCCTACCCACCCCACCCCCATCCCAACAACCACCTCGGCAAAACAACACGTTCGACGCTAACGTAGTCATGGTCCTATCGGTGCTATTGTGCGCCTTAATCTGCTCACTCGGCCTCAACTCAATCATACGGTGCGCCCTCCGGTGCTCGAGCCTTGTGGGGTCCGCCGACTCGGCCAACAGCCCGCAGGCGGCTCAACAGTGCCAGCTGGCGAACACGGGGATCAAGAAGAAGGCCCTCAAGACATTCCCCACAATAAGCTTCTCCGCGGACCTCAAGCTGCCGGGACTAGACACCGAGTGCGCCATCTGCCTGTCGGAATTCACAGCCGGCGAGCGCGTGAGGGTGCTCCCCAAGTGCCACCATGGATTCCACGTGCGCTGCATTGACAAGTGGCTCAACTGCCACTCTTCTTGCCCTACTTGCCGCCACTGCCTCATCGAAACCTGCAATAAAATCGTCGCCTCCACTACTACACCTCGTACTACCACCCAATCATTAGTTGTTGTTGAGGAAGTTTGTGTCAGGATTGAACCTCTCCATCCAGAAGGTTTGATTCGTAATTATCAAACTTAATTAGGATTAATTAATTACATAGACATATTTTGTATCATATAGTAGATTAATTTTCTTTTTCTTTTTGTTGTTGTTTTTTTTTTTTTTTTTTTTACAATTAGCTAGGGAGAGATTGGATCGTACGTGTATATTTCAATATGATCATTTTCATTTTTTTATTTTAATATTATCAATCTATATGCGCGCGTGGATTAATTAATTTATACACGCGCGTGTACATTAATAATGTTGAAATATGAATCGAAATATTATTTGAAATGTACGAATTGATCTATCTCTGCAGACAATGAGGGCTGGGTAGTGCTATGTTAGGTGGAAAGTGGCAATTAACCATTTTGCACTAGCTAGGGTTTTCAATATGGGGCCAGCAGCCAAATAATATCATTAATAATTAAGTGTATATAAGATTTTCATTTGATCTCTACTTCATATATGTGATTGATTGTGATTTCCGGCCAGCATGTTGATATAAAAAAAAAAAAAAAAAAGATGCATTATTGAGAACAATATATAAGCACCAATGTCACATCACACAAATTTTTGTTGCATGATAAATTTCATAATCATTGATTATGTGGTTAAAATTCTCTATTATAATTTAATTTAATTTAACCCTTTACAAAACTAAATAGACAATTAGGGAGTGAATATACATATATACATATACATATATATATATATATATATATATATATATATATAGATGAAGCTTCTGAAAATATTGTTGTCTGAGTCAACACTCACCTACAAAGTATAAAAGGCTGATTAAATTCGTAAAAAAACATGATTAATTACAAAAGGTAAGTCCACTGAAATTGGATTAGCCAGTGTTTTGAGAGTTAAATTGTACAGTTGTCATGCTATTAGAGGGGCATTTGCTCAATAATTAGCTTAATTAACCAAAGAATGGAGAACATTACTAATTAATGAATGCCTTCTCTCAACATTTTATAATTAGCATCAGCCAGTTTAATTGAAGAAATTAGATGATTGTAAAGGATTCGAGTATTGGAGATTTGGAGTGGATTTCATGTTGGATATATGACTCCTTTCTTTTTATTCACTTAACTAAGTTTATGTTAAACAAAATTAAGAGTCGAACATCAAATGTTTTTTTTTAATGCATGAACATGCAAACAATCATATAGATGCACCGGGTAAACCTACAGTCTCATATAATAGCTTGCAAATTATACAAAATACATTAATCACACTAGGTTAATCATATGTGACAAGCTCGATCTAACGGCTATTGGCAAGGGGATTCGAACTTTGCTCAACTGACATAATCTCACTTGTGTTGGTGGAAAATACCTACACGCAAGTCCACGTATCTAAGTAATATAGTGGACAATTAAGTCCGGATATCAATCCCACGAGAAATATTCAACTATTTAATTCTAAACGCTAGATTTTACCAATTATATTTAAGCCCACCCTACATAGTCGAATCTTGGATTGATTTAACTAAACTATAAACTAAATTAATAATAATAATTAATTAAGCAAGAAAAACAAGTAAGCAAATAACATGAAGAGTGATCAAATTAAAATAAAAAATCTAGGATTTTATCTTCTCTTTGTAATTATCTATCCTCCAATTTCCTTCAATTATGCAAGTAAATAATTCGGATTACTAACCTCAGATGCTAATTTAATCATAACCCATTTTCGCGTGTATTATGATCCTATTATTCATTACTAAATTACTGTATTTAACAATTCAATTAAGAACAAAGCATTAAGAACAAATCTCATTAATGGCCACCTAAGGGGTCAACTATATTCCTCTAATATTACGAAGTTTTGTACGAAGAAATCATCTTGGGATTTCTTCATAAAAGAGAAGATCTTTACTTCTCTCTTTTGTATTCTTTGAATATTGTTTTATAAAAAAAATCGTCTGTGAAGACACGTCCACAAGTTATATATTTGTGGATAGTTATTTAAAAATTGTGTTGTTTAAATTCCGCTGTAAAACATTTTTTTACTCAAGTCTTTGTCTAATATTTTGTCTAAATCTCTGATTTGATATTTATTATAACATAATTACATGAATTCAGATGCATAGAATTCTTTCAAGGAGGTGCAGACCAAAAACTCTTTTACAAAAAAAGTTCAGATAAAGTGCAGCGGTGTGTAAAAGATCATAATACCCCATTATATTTTAATATGCTCCAATTTCATCCCATTGGCTCCAATTTGACCTCAAATTTCACCAATTATTCAATTCTTACCCCTAACCCAATTTTGACCGTCGTCCGGTCAGCCGCTGTTGATCGCGGTCTCCGACGTTGAATTTTTTTTCCCCTACTACCGCGCTGATGACTAACGCGATCAACGCCGGTCTCCGACGGCATTGACTTTTTTTTCCTTTTTTTAAAATTTTTTTTTTCTGAACATTTTTTGGCCCCCGTAAAAAAACAGTAATATTATTGTGGTTGACAGTAATATTAACTATATTACTGTTTAACAATGTCATATTGCTATATTACTATCTAGCACAATAATTAACACAACAAAATCACTATGTTACATAATACATTATTGTGTAATACAATAATATTATTATGTTGACTGGTCAACAAAAGCAAACATAATAAAAAACCAAAAAAAAAACATATTACTGTAACGACAGTAATATTACTGTCAACCACATTAATATTATTGTGTTTACAATAATTTTACTGCCAACGACAGTAATATTAATATTATTGTCACGTTGACCAGTCAATAAATCAATCAAAATAAAAAATAAAAACAAAAAAAAATAATAATATTGATGTGGTTGACAATAATATTATTGTGTTTGCAGTAATTTTACTTCAACGACAATATTATTACAATGGTAGACAGTAATATTATTATGTTGACCGGTCAACAAATGAAACAAAATAAAAAAGTAAAAAATAAATCAAAAATTATATTGATGGGGTTGACTAGGGGTTGTACATGAGCCGAGCCGACACGTGAGCTCGATGAGCCGACTCGAAAAAAGCTCGAACTCGGACTCGAGTTTTTCGAGGTCGAGCTCGAGCTTTCTGACGAGCCGAGTTCGAGCCAGTTTTTAGTTGTTCGTGAGCTCACGAGCCGGCTCGCGAGCCTTATTTATTATTTTTTTTATATATTATTTTTTATTTATATAATGTATAATAATATAAAATATTATAGAAATAAATAAAAATAAAATATTAATATTAAAAAAAAAATATATATATATATATATATATATATAATTACAATTTATTTTTTATTTTGTAAGTTTTTTCAATAATTTTTAATAATAATAAAATAATAATTAAAAAAATATTAAAAAAAAAAACAACAACAAAATGAGCTTGGGCTCGAGCTCGACAAAATAGACACGAGCTCGAGCTCGAGCCTGCCAAAAGAGGCGAGCTCGACTCATTCACACCCCTAGGGTTGACAGTAATGTTATTGTGTTTACAGTAATTTTACTGTCAACCACAGTAATATTACAATGGTAGACAATAATATTTTTATGTTGACTGGTCAGCAAACGAAACAAAAGAAAAAAAAAAATTGATGTGGATGATAGTAATATTAATGTGTTTCAAGAAAATAAAATAATAAAACCAATGCCCGAATTGAGTTAAAATTTGATTTCTTTTTTTCTTTTCAAAATTGATGAAATTGAAGTTAAATTGGAATTACAATTAGGAATTGAAGTTAAAGGATTGCGGGTAATTTTGTCATATTGATAATATTTATCTTTATTTATAAACATATTAAAATAATGGGCTTATTGGTGAAAAAAATATAGCAACTAAATCTAGAATAATAAGAGACGTGATGTTTGCACCCTCAAAATATCTTATTTCACCACCACATTAAATATATTTCCTATTTTACCCATTTTCTTCTTATTTCATCTATACTCTACAAATTCATAAATCGTCCATCACTAAACTAATTAAAATATTTATAAAAAAACTCCACCATTTTTCACTGGAATCTTTACCACAAAATCCCACCATCTCCACCTTAAGTGAACAAACTTTTGTCAAGAAAAACACGATAGCTAAAAAAGAGCAGGAATTCACTTTCTTGGAGAAATAAATTAAGAGTGCTTGTATAGAAGATCCTGAACTTGCTCCTAAATTGACCAGCTTGGCTCAATATAATTTTGTTTCCTAAAAAAAAACTTTATATAATCTGTAGGTCATCTGATACGAAAGTTTAAATATCTTGTAATAAATATTTCAAATAGGAATAACTTAGAACACTTAAGTGAATATAAGGAAGGATAGTGGATTAGAAATTCGAGAGATATTTATGATATTTTATGTGGTGAATTGAGATGTTTTAGATGTGCAAATAACATCACTCAATAATAAAAATAATTGGTCAGACATCCAACAAATCATCCTCTCCTCAATTAATAATAGATATAAATAGTAATATAAATTATTGTATTAATAATCCCTCGAAACTCCTTTTTCAAATAGCAATACTAATGATAGAACTGTGATTTAATTAAACTTTTTGGAGAAAATCAGAAAAGGCAATAGGATACACTAAACTAGGATCTAAAGCATTCCCCATCAACCCAACCCAACCCCACCCCTCCCACCACCAAGAATATAATTTATTTATTTTCTGAAAAGGGTTTGACTTTAGAAAAAGACCAAAAAAGAAGGATAAAATTATTTCAAAAAGGAAAATCCAGAAATTAAAAATATATATAAGAGTAAGGATATTTATTCAATCTCTATATATTAACCTTAAATTTTTGAAGAAAAATGGAAGAGATAAGAGAGATGTTCAATCAAATGGAGCCCAGATGAAAATGAATGGAATCTGAGAGAGAGAGCACACAATATTACCCACATGTCAATCCTAAGATATATAAAACACATGCATGTGCATGTATAAAGTATAAACTTGGTGGCTAAAGGTAGATATTGTAGAGATATTTTTAGGCAAACCTTTTTATTCTGAAATTAAATTTACTCTTTCCAAAAATAACTTAATTATAAGAAACATAAATTTTGATGCTACACCTGATTATTTACATTGGGTGAATTTCAACTATATATCTACATATAATCACATACATACACATTCATATGTATTTGTGTTTAGTAAATGATTATTAATCAGATCTACGATTAAAATCTAATTGGTGTAGATGTAGCATCTATCCCCCTAAAATTTAGTGACAATTTAATATATAGATAAGTGTTTTTTAGATGTTACATCTGGTCATTTACACTGAGTGAATTTCAATCGTAGATCTACGCAT